AGGGAGGGGGCAGTGTTGCGTCAGCAAGGTCACGTGACTAGTATCACGCCACTTCCTTCTCGAACCTTCGTGAATTGTCGAAAGACTACTAGATTGGGGTTGGTCTGGTATATATATGATGGTCAAAACGTGACGGAACAATGTGTAATTGAATGAGTAAGAATATTGTTGAGCACGTGAGACGGGCGTGGTGAATTATAATGTTTGTTATAGCGTGACTGTTGAAATTAAGTGTATCGGAAAGTTGTATTCAGAAAGAATAAACCAGTTTTATTTAAGAAAGGACTTGTGTCGTTAAAGTTTCATCGGAACAAATTTACGGAAAATTAACTAACAAACGGTAACGTAACAATATGTATCTTAGACTTTATAAAGTTAAAATAATTGAGTTGCAGAGTTCATTTATTATCAAACTTAAAACGTAAAAGTAGTTATTCTTATTACTAGATTGCCTTTATCATTCTTCTTCTTCTTTGTTAATTTTGTGATCCAGGTTGTTTTTTTTACACAACAGTCTTCGATTATTCTGAAACTTTCGACTAATATTTCGTGCATAACTGGTGTTTTTAAGGAAAGTTTCCCATTTAAGCTATCAGGGTAAAGTAGATAAAAAATAGAGAAAATATATATTTAAAATATAGGTTAGATGGAGTTGTCGTCAGTCTAGAAGTGTTTCAGCACTTATTAGTTATACGGAGTTTTGAGTGTCGTGTTGTAAATTGTTAAAAGTTGTTTGTGTTCCTGGATTTTTCATTATTTAGTTAATTTAAGAGTTAGATTGCTTTTTTACCATGTGTGTAAAGATATAAACGATTAAAATGTTACAAGAAAGACCAAATCTCAGATTTGGGCTGGAAATTGCTCTTGGAATCGGGGCTGTTTTAGCAGTTTCTTTGATAGCTTCACGGTTTATTTGGCAGACAAAAAAGAAAAAGAAAATTACAAGGATTATTGATACAGTAAGTGGCAAACTAACAAAAGTGAAAACCAGCAATAATTTACACATGTTATGTAGACCAAATATAGTATATAAAGTTTGAAATGTAGACTTGTAGTTGTATCAAAAGGTAACTTTTATTGGATTTTATTATTTTAAGGTAAATGTTAGTTTTAGCTAGGTTATATATTTAAAACTTGTTCTTATTGCAATTTTGATAAAGATAAATGTGCATAGTTGGTAGAGTTTAATAATGAAATAATTATTCTAAATATTGTGCTTTTTTGATATATCTTTTAAACAGTTAAATAATGTTTTTTGTTTGGAAAATTTTGGTACATGTTCATACTTACGTATTTTTATTTCATTTGAGTGCACTGAAACATGAAGGTACATATACTGGTATTGTCTTGTGTATTTATCTAGACCGGCTATGTTTTAATTCAGAATCAGACAAACAATCTATATTCTGTCAACTGTAACAATAGTATTAAAATCATACAAGCATATCTTTTTGTTGTTGTTGTTAATGGATATTACTAGATTGCTTTTATATGTTTTTACTGACATACTATCACGAAATAATAATTGTAGCTTTTATAATAAAAATTACTTGTAAATTTGAAAGCTTAATGCAAATAAAAAGAAATGACAATTGTAGTTGAAAGTTTTTTAGACAAACTTAACTACACAATTCTTCTTCCTTTAGTGTGATTTAAAACATTTTATATTTTCAGAGCATAAAAGCTTTGTTAAAAAGAGTAAGAAAAAATTAAGTAACACAGCAATTATAAGAACAATTATAAGACAGTTAGAGTGTATTAAATGTATATTTTTAATTTAGATTGAAGAGCTTCAAAAGCCAAATGTTCGTATGAAAGATCCAGATAAAGTTGAAGACATTGTGTGTCAGTTGATCAATGGGAGAGCATCAAAATTACAGGTAAGCTAAAACATAACAGTAGATACATGTCAATTAATCAACTCAAATAAATATTAATTAGGTGTGCACAGAGTTGTAAACTATATTTTGACATTCGTACCTACTTATATATGTGTATTAACAGAAAAAAACTTTGAAAGTGAAGGAACGTATGAAACTTCATATTGTATGAAAAAAATGTACTGTAAAGTTATCAAATATTCCAAGCTTTAACTGAAGTGAAGAAATTACAATCACTAACTAAGATTATATAAATAATTATTTATAATAGCAAACATTAATTTTTAACACCTTGCTGTTCAGTATTTTTGTAATCAGTATGAAATTTATTACTTTTTTGCTAACTTTAATCACTAGGGAAAAGATTAAAATTTGAGTGAATCAAGTAAAAGCTTAAGTTAGTTTTTATATCTATTAAAACAACTGTACTTGCTCCCATTCTCAAAGATCAAGAGATGATAATGTAAACATATGGATAACAGTTGATAAATGGAAATGAGATCAAAGAAGATGACTGCATTAGTTCTGAGCTGGTTAAGAAAAAATTGTTAAGTTTAAAAAACGATAAGGCTCCTGGGCCAGATAATATTTCCCCAAGGGTTTTGAAAGAGGTTAAAGATTAGATATGTGAGCCACTTACTACTATTTTTTGTCTGTCCTTGAATAGTGGGCAAGTATCAGAGGATTGGAAGTTGGCTAATATAACTCTTCTTTTTGAGAGAGGTGATAAAAAAATTGTCCCAGTAATTATAGACCCATTAGTCTTACATTAGTTGTGGGAAAAGGTTTGGAAAGTCTGGTAAAAGTTTAGAATTTTATTGGATAGTCAACATGGTTTCAATAAGGGAAAATCTTGCCTTACAAGTCTTTTTACATTGTTTGAAAAGGCTACTGCTTATGTATATGAGGGTAAGGGTGTAGATTTGGTGTATCTGAATTTTCAGAAAGAATTTGACAAAGTGCCACATAAAAGGCTTGTAAAGAATTGTCTTTATAGGTGTGGAGTATAAGTTAGCAAATTGGATAGAAGAGTGGCTGGATGGAAGAAAGCAGAGGGCTGTTACAAATGTAGTTCAGTCAAACTGGATTAGTGTCACAAGTGGGGTACCTCAGGGCTCAGTCTTAGGACCTTTTGACTCTCTTT